CCAAAAAAAAAAAAAAAAAAACAAAAAAAAAAGGAAAAAAACTTTAAACTTTAAACAACTATGTTATGCAGAAAAATAAACTGAACAACTTTCGCCTCAGTGTCACATCGAAACTCTTTACCAAATTATGTTATGCCCAAAAAAAGAAGAAGAAAAAACTGAACAACTTTTGCCGCAGTGTCACATTAAAATTCTTTGGCAGATAAGAAACATATTTTATTTTATAATTTTATTTTATTTTTGAACCGGCCGGGCAAGTGGTCTCGGGCCACTCCAGTAGCCTATTGCTATATTTCATTTCTCATCAAGAGGAGGCGGCGATAATGTGAAGAAAATTATGATGTGAATATAAGGAGAGAGATGCCATTGCTTCCAGCTTGTGTTCTTCTTCTTCTCCTTCTTTTCTTCATTCTTCTTTTCTCCTGATCTCATTTGCCTTTTTATTTTTTTTAATTATTTAGAACAGCCCGAGGTGGTGCTAGGGGTGCTGATAGGGGCAGACATCACTATCACTCTTGGGGAGGCTCCATCTATTGGTGGTGAGCAGCACCCGCTGGAAAACGGGTCCAGCGTCCCCCAACATCTTAGTTGCTTCTTTGTACAGACATCTGATTGTAGCGACTGCTGGCTGCATGGTCTACACTCAGAGAAGGAAATTTGGCAAATAGAGCTACACAACTACCCAGTAGCCTAAGTTTGTTGCCTACATGACAGCATTAGTTAGGTTGTAGTATACCCAAGTCCTATGGCTGCTATCCTCGTTCGATCTTGGAGTCTGGTGCTATCAGCTATGAGTGGTCCCCAACGCATGTACGCAAGCAAACCTCCCGTTCCCCTACCCCCACCCTTTGGAACACAGCCTTGTTAGTTATCTTCAAGCCTGCTACAAGCCATGGGAATTTGAGCTGTAGCTGAGAGTGTAGGTGAGCCTTTTGTACCTCTTCACTCCTCCGCTGAGATCCTGATTTGTCGTGAGCCTTCCTGGTACATTGGCATGCAGGGGTTTTGGGGGTGCAGCCTAAACCCTAAGCCCTCGACCCCTTGTCCGTCTCTCTTTTTGCAAGTAAAGGTAAGTAAATCAAGTAAAAGCACGGCACCAAACCTCTGGCCCTCATTCACACCCTTCTATTTCTGCGTTGTTATTCGGGGCAATTCACATCTTAGCACAGTAGGTGGGCCTGGGCATGATTTGTGTCTATCCGCAGTGGCGACAGGTCATTAACCTGCTTCCCCTGTCTTCGTCCCTCGTTGGCGGCATTGCTCCATCCCACGATCTTCTGGTGTCTTCCGCCATGTTGGGTACAGGTTGGCCTGTGTGAGGTAAGCAACCCGCGCTTCCCTGCTCTGGGCCTCATCATTTCATGTCGCGGCTGTCGTGATGTCCACATTTGTATTGTGGTGATGGGATCCTTTCAACACACTACCTCTCCCTTCTTTCCTCACCTGGCGGCAGTGCTCCATCTGCGGCCCCACCACGTCAGGTACTCCTTGTTTCGGTCTCACACCTGGGGGGAGAAAG